TGAGAATCTTGAATGTGGTGATCATGTCCCCCCTAACTCTTCTGTCTTCCAACGAAGTGAGGTTCAATTCCCGTAGTCTCTCCTCGTAGCTCATACCTCTCAGCTCGGGTACTAGTCTGGTGGCAAACCTTTGAACCTTTTCCAGTTTAGTCTTATGCTTGACTAGATATGGACTCCATGCTGGAGCCGCATACTCCAGGATTGGTCTGACATATGTGGTATATAATGTTCTGAAAGATTCCTTACACAAGTTTCTAAAGGCCGTTCTTATGTTAGCCAACCTGGCATATGCTACTGATGTTATCGTGTGTGTGTGTGTGTGTGTGTGTGTGTGTGTGTGGGTGGGTGGTACAAGAGCAGTAAGAGCATAATAAGGAGGTTCATCTTTCCACACGATAGTGCTACTGATCTGTGTCAGGGTTCACCCCCTTCCTACCTTTGGTTGGGGTTGCTCCCACGGGCCTTAGCCCCTCAGTTCCTGGCGCCACTGTCCGCCCCGGGGCTCCCCCAGTCGGCCAAGGGCTGGCCTTATACACCCCTAGCAAGTGGGGCCGTTCAAGCCTCCTATAACTAACCTGAACCTGCATGTCCTGACACTGGGAGGTTCTCTCTTTAATATCTGGTCTGCTCAGGTCACCAGCTGGGTGTTTAGACTCGTGTCCCAGCAATATGTCAGTGGTCTTATTGGTTACATTATTCAAGGATGCAATGTCTCGTGCAGTACTAGGTGTCATTAATGGTCTCTCATAAATATAGCCCTAGAGAATGGAGGCTCACTTAAACTCATCAGTTAGTTTAAAAGTTTACTGAAGAAAAGGTATATATATATATATATATATATATATATATGTCGTACCTAGTAGCCAGAACTCACTTCTCAGCCTACTATGCAAGGCCAAATTTGCCTAGTAAGCCAAGTTTTCATGAATTAATTGTTTTTCGACTACCTAACCTACCTAACCTAACCTAACCTAACTTTTTCGGCTACCTAACCAAACCTAACCTATAAAGATAGGTTAGGTTAGGTTAGGTAGGGTTGGTTAGGTTCAGTCATATATCTACGTTAATTTTAACTCCAATAAAAAAAAATGGACCTCATACATAATGAAATGGGTAGCTTTATCATTTCATAAGAAAAAAATTAGAAAAAATATATTAATTCAGGAAAACTTGGCTTATAAGTTTATTGGCTTAGCTACCCATTTCATTATGTATTAGGTCAATTTTTTTTTATTGCAGTTAAAATTAACGTAGATATATGACCGAACCTAACCAACCCTACCTAACCTAACCTAACCTATCTTTATAGGTTAGGTTAGGTTAGGTAGCGAAAAAAGTTAGGTTAGGTTAGGTTAGGTAGGTTAGGTAGTCGAAAAACAATTAATTCATGAAAACTTGGTTTATTAAGCAAATCGGGCCTTGAATAGTAGGCTGAGAAGTGCATTCTGGCTACTAGGTACGACATATATATATATATATATATATATATATATATATATATATATATATATATATATATATATATATATATATATATATATATATATATATATATATATATATATAACTGAAAACTCACACCCCAGAAGTGACTCGAACCCATACTCCCACAACTGGTATGTACAGGGACGCCTTAATCCGCTTGACCATCACGACCGAACATAAGGAAGTGATAGCCGAGGCTATTTGAACCACTTCCCCGCCGGCACTCGGATGGTAATCTTGGGCATAGCATTTTATCAAATCACCTCATTCTTTGGGGCACACGTGAGGAACACAAATGCAAACAAGCCTGAATGGTCCCCAGGACTATATACAACTGAAAACTCACACCCCAGAAGTGACTCGAACCCATACTCCCACAACTGGTATGTACAGGGACGCCTTAATCCGCTTGACCATCACGACCGGACATAAGGAAGTGATAGCCGAGGCTATTTGAACCACTTCCCCGCCGGCACTCGGATGGTAATCTTGGGCATAGCATTTTATCAAATCACCTCATTCTTTGGGGCACACGTGAGGAACACAAATGCAAACAAGCCTGAATGGTCCCCAGGACTATATACAACTGAAAACTCACACCCCAGAAGTGACTCGAACCCATACTCCCACAACTGGTATGTACAGGGACGCCTTAATCCGCTTGACCATCACGACCGGACATAAGGAAGTGATAGCCGAGGCTATTTGAACCACTTCCCCGCCGGCACTCGGATGGTAATCTTGGGCATAGCATTTTATCAAATCACCTCATTCTTTGGGGCACACGTGAGGAACACAAATGCAAACAAGCCTGAATGGTCCCCAGGACTATATACAACTGAAAACTCACACCCCAGAAGTGACTCGAACCCATACTCGGTCAAGCGGATTAAGGCGTCCCTGTACATACCAGTTGTGGGAGTATGGGTTCGAGTCACTTCTGGGGTGTGAGTTTTCAGTTGTATATAGTCCTGGGGACCATTCAGGCTTGTTTGCATTTGTGTTCCTCACGTGTGCCCCAAAGAATGAGGTGATTTGATAAAATGCTATGCCCAAGATTACCATCCGAGTGCCGGCGGGGAAGTGGTTCAAATAGCCTCGGCTATCACTTCCTTATGTCCGGTCGTGATGGTCAAGCGGATTAAGGCGTCCCTGTACATACCAGTTGTGGGAGTATGGGTTCGAGTCACTTCTGGGGTGTGAGTTTTCAGTTGTATATAGTCCTGGGGACCATTCAGGCTTGTTTGCATTTGTGTTCCTCACGTGTGCCCCAAAGAATGAGGTGATTTGATAAAATGCTATGCCCAAGATTACCATCCGAGTGCCGGCGGGGAAGTGGTTCAAATAGCCTCGGCTATCACTTCCTTATGTCCGGTCGTGATGGTCAAGCGGATTAAGGCGTCCCTGTACATACCAGTTGTGGGAGTATGGGTTCGAGTCACTTCTGGGGTGTGAGTTTTCAGTTGTATATAGTCCTGGGGACCATTCAGGCTTGTTTGCATTTGTGTTCCTCACGTGTGCCCCAAAGAATGAGGTGATTTGATAAAATGCTATGCCCAAGATTACCATCCGAGTGCCGGCGGGGAAGTGGTTCAAATAGCCTCGGCTATCACTTCCTTATGTCCGGTCGTGATGGTCAAGCGGATTAAGGCGTCCCTGTACATACCAGTTGTGGGAGTATGGGTTCGAGTCACTTCTGGGGTGTGAGTTTTCAGTTGTATATAGTCCTGGGGACCATTCAGGCTTGTTTGCATATATATATATATATATATATATATATATATATATATATATATATATATACACATACACATACACATACACACACACACACACATAAATTGCATAAAGAAATGTCTATAAGTGGATATCGTCCGCTGTCGGCAACACTCCTCATGACACGTCTCTGGCAACACGGTCAGCTGACTGGGTCTACTCCTCAAGCAGCGGGCACACACCTCGCGCCTCTGGCAACAGGATACGCTGACGGCTCCAAATGTCAGGCGGTGGGACACACCCACGCCTCTGGCAACGTGATCAGCTGGGCATTTCAAAGTTCGTTGCTGGCTCCTTGCAAACTAGCTACTACCTCCAGGATCACTAACACCACCGCATCAACACATTTATGTTCACACCACCATCAAGCCTATATGAGCTCTTGGCTCCTAGCCTAACACTCTGTCATTCAGACAATAAAATGATAAGTAGAAATGTTCACAATATATAACTTGCTTGCCTAGATCAAAAGGGGTAAAGGGAGGGACAATTATCTACCTTACTTTATTCCAACCACGGATCCGACTCGTCCTCTGTTGAGGTATGTTGAGGTTCCTGGTCCTGGCTTCTGGTCTCCTGACGATCAGTTCCCACACACAGGTTCCTCCGTCGTCCTCGCTGTGCTCACTCCCAACAGGTACTGCCTTCCTCCTCCTCTTCTCCGGGATACTGGAGACAAGTACCTGTGCCTTCGCCATCCTCAACTCTCACTGGCACTGTCGGCACCTTGCAGTCCAGCACAGCTTCCCCTCGCCTCACTGCCAGTAGATTTGGCACGGCCGTAGCTTCTCGCTTGATGTGTATAACGTGGTCCTCTGGGCGTCCCAGACGTCACCAGCCCAACGTTCCCTCTGCTGCAGACTCTTGATAGAGCTCTTGGCTCTCTAATCCGGCCCGTCCTTGCTTCTGGGCACTCCACGGAAGTTGGATGGCCTCCCAGACTGTCTGCAGTATCGAAGCGAAGCTTAGATCTACTGGTAAGGGCTCTCTAGATCCGGAGCTCACTCAAGCGCGTCCTCACTCTAGGGCGGCTCGTGACGTACTCTCTCCCGCCCAGGCGCCAGCCGCCCTGAGAGCCCTCCACCTCGTGACGTCACACCGCCCGAGGGCTCTTGTCATTGGTCACTTCTGGCACGTGACCTCACCTGGCCAATCAGGTGCCGGGAGGCGTCACGACATCTTGGCGGGAAACAGGATGGCTCGGCACCGTCTTGTGCCCCAAAAGGCGTAAGCCCCTTGCATTATCAAACTTAGCTGGTCATTTTGCAGCCAGCTTAATCACGTTCCACGCTTTCCCACACATGAAAATGTTCCCTGAACATCAGAGAATACTTAGGTCATGGAGATATGACTCTTTTAAGCTAGGAAGGAAGAAATATAGGGGTGGGACACCGTCACAACTGTTTTTTTTTGCAGTTTACATTACTAGACCATTTGGCAATTTACATATTAGACCATTGATTGGCAGTTTATATACTAGACCTCTCGAAATTTATATACTAGATCATTGATTGGCACCACTGGTTTGTAGTTTACATTATTAAACCATTGTCTGGTAGTTTACTAAACCATTGACTGGCAGTTTACATTTCTGAATCATTGACTGGCAGTTTACATTGCTGAACCATTAACTAACAGTTTACATTACTGAACCATTAACTGGTAGCTTGCAAAAAGTAGCTTTAATGGTTGAGAACCATTAATTTTTACACTAAATGTATAATTTTTTGTCTTTGCAGAGCAACGAGACATTCAAGATGTCAGAGAAAAGGTTTCAGTTAAGGTTCTAGGTCTTCATCGCCTTCAATTAGAATGGAAGTATGATGAATATTTTGTAGAGGCACAATTGTTTCATGGATCCAGATGTATTGGCCAGCCTGTTTATACACATACAAAAAAGGTTATCGAAGATTCAAAATTTTATCCAAAAGTTGTTTTCAGTCGTTGGTAAGAATTTATATATCTCGTTTATAAATTATAACGGTAATATATATTTTACTATTGTAGATTTCTATTTTATGAATTGTTTAATTTTAAGATTTATGTTGATTAATCATCCTATTTTTAATTGTACATTTAATAAAAGTACATTGCAGAAGCTTATATTAGGTTCACTTTTAACACTATCGGTCACCGGACAGGCGCGCGGTCAATTTAGGGGTCATGCACCCGACGTACGGGTGAGCGTGCAGGTAAGCGTGCGGTGACACCTAAATGTGTGTACTCGTTTCAGCTTTCTCACTTTAATTCTCGTGCTACGTCGCTCGTTTTGGTATTATTGTGTTCGTAATTAAATTCCCTACAGGTGTGTATAAATATAATGTCCAAAAGCCTGGCGTGACTCCCAACAGCAAAGCCTAAAGTCGGCAAAAGTTACCCGTGAGCGCACAAAATCAGTAAAATGTGCATACTCGTTCCGTTTTTCTCACCTTAATTCTCATGCTACGTCGCTCGTTTTGGTATCATAGTGTTCGCAATTAAATTCCCTACAAATGTGTATGAATATAATGTACAAAAGTTTGGAGTGCCCCCCCGCAGAAAAGCCTAAAGTTACCCATGAACGAACACCAATTTGTACACTGCAACCTAATGTGTATACTCGTTCAATTTGATAACATAAATTTTCGTGTTACGTCTTTCATTTTGGTATCAAATTGTTCGCAATAAAAAGGCACGTATTTTAAAACTAGTCCCATAATAATAGAGCAATAACTGGAATTTTAAGAAATATTTTAATTCTAGCAGCTCATCATCACAAAATTATTTATCTCTTTCCAGTGTTCTGACATAAATTTTTGTGTTACATCTTTCATTTTGGCATCAAATTGTTCGTGACGTAAAGGCACGCATTTTAAAACTAGTCCCAACATAATAGCACAATAAATAGAATTTTAGCAAATATTTTAAAATTTTGACCAAAAACCTATTTATAATCATATAAGTGTTCGGACATCAAGTTTCATGTTACATCTTTCATTTTGGTATCAAATTGTGCGCATTCTAAAGGTGCTTATTTTGATGCTATCTCTAGGTCGATTGGATAAAAAATGAATTTTATACAAATATTTTTGTAGTGGACGCAAGTCCGGTCCAAAGTTAGGACTCGGGAGAAAAATAATGGACACGAGTCCGGTCCAAAGTGATCGATAGTGTTAAGTTGTACAATGTAGTGTGTTCCTGCTCATTCAGGCATCTGGCTTGGATACTAGCTCTGTCCTGAGCTCTTTACTTCTTTACATTGGGCTGACTCAAGTTAGTTTTGTTTGAACAGTATCCACTCAATTTAACGGCCTATATGGGTCTGTACCCTGGTCGTTATTTCCGGAGCTCTGGTATTTCCGAAGTTAAGTGTCGGTAATTTTTCAAGTGACATTCAGGTAAGATATATTTTATACAGACAGCCACTGGGTCCACCACTCTAGTGCCTTCTACCCTGTGACGTCACAGATTCACGGCACATTGTTTTGATTTGTCATGAGGCTGGATTATTCATTCCATGACTTTGTTGGACATATCGGCACAATCAAGGAACATCCGTGCACCATGTCGGCTCCAAATGCACTCGTTGTGTCAGTGATGGCTGACTGGTGGGTGGATGGGCAGTCAGGCAGGGATGGAGAGGCTGAAATGTAGGCAGGCAGGCAGGCAGGCAGGGAGAGGCTGGGAGGTAGGCAGGGAGGGAGAGGCAAGGAGGAAGGCAGAGCTTGGGAGGGAGGCAGGCAGGGAGGGAGGGAGGCAGGCAGGCAGAGCTTGGGAGGGAGGCAGGCAGGCAGAGCTTGGGAGGGAGGGAGGCAGGCAGGCAGAGCTTGGGAGGGAGGCAGGCAGGCAGAGCTTGGGAGGGAGGGAGGCAGGCAGGCAGAGCTTGGGAGGGAGGCTGGCAGGCAAGAGGCAAGCAGGCAGAGGCAGGAAGGGAGGCAGGCAGGCAGGCAGAGGCTGGGTGGTAGGCATGGAGGGAGGGAGGCAGGCAGGCAGGCAGGCAGAGGCTGGGTGGTAGGCAGGGAGGGAGGCAGAGGCTGGGTGGTAGGCATGGAGGGAGCAGCAAGGAGAGAGGGAGCGCGGGAGGCAGGCAGAGGCTGGGTGGTAGGCAGGGAGGGAGTGGATGGAGATGGATGGTAGGATGGAGATGGATGGAGGGATGGATTAATGGAGGGAGGGAGAGAGGGATGGCGCTATGGTTGTTGAGGTCAAGCAGAGAGAGCGTGTGTATGGGAAGTTTGGGGGGGAAGGGACAAGTTCGCAACCAGATGTTTAGATGGAAGGAAGGAGGGAGGAAGGGATGGAGGGGAGGGAAGGAGGGAGCTGGGAAGGAGGGAGGAAGAGATGGAGGGAGGGAGTGAAGGAGGGAGGAAGGGATGGAGGGGAGTGATGGAGGGATGGAGGAAGGGAAGGAGGGTCGAAGGGATGGAGGGGAGTGATGGAGGGAGGAAGGGAAGGAGGGTCGAAGGGATGGAGGGAGGAAGGGGAGCAGGGGAGGGATGGAGGGAAGGAGGGAGGGAGGGATGGTTGGATGGAGGGAGTGAAGGAGGGAGGGAGTGAAGGAGGGAGGGAGGGAGTGAAGGAGGGAGGGAGGGAGGAAGGGATGGAGGGAGGGAGGGAGGGATGGAGGAAGGGAAGGAAGGACAAAGGGATGGAGGGAGGAAAGAAGAGAGGGAGGGAGGGATGGAGCAGTGGATGATGAGGTGAAGCAAAGAGTGTGTGTGTGTATGGGAAGTATGGGGGGGCCGGGGGGGGGGGGTTCGTTGGTGGGGAAGGGAAGAGATAAGCCTAACACTTGACCCAGTTAACCAGATGTTTCTTTATTTAATTCTGAATGTACATCATATATATTTTTGCTTGCAGATTTTGTTTAGTAATATTATTAGGATAATGAAAAGTTATAAAATACTTGTTTCATGAATGCTTTATTAGATGGAGATTCTCCAGGCTGTCTCTGGCTGGCTGGCAGTCTACTGAGCCATTTCCCAGAAGGGTCTTGGGGGGGAGGGGGGGGGAGCAGAAAGTGAGGGTGTGGGGGTAGAGGTTCAGTGAGGGTGAGGGAGGGGATGAAAGGGGTAGGCGGCCTGCTTGCCATGTGAGGACCCTCTGATGCCAAGACAAACCCAATACCGACCTTCGGTAATATCGACCACCAGACCGTTATATGAGGCTTTAAATACCGGTCTCCCAAACCGGTCGTTATTACCGGCAGATCGGTATAAAAGAGGCCGTTAAATTGAGTGGATACTGTATTATTTAGCCTAAATAATTGCAGTTGTTTGGTCATTTTGGGGCTTCTTTTTCTGTGAACCTTTCAGTTGTCTATAAAGCTTTGCTGACTTTCTGGATGCTATACCTGTGAGGGTTATGATAGTAATTCCCAGCTCTCTGCACCTCTGAGGGGGCCAGGTTCTTGCTCTGGTCTCTGGTAGGCAAACAGGAATCCTATGAAAGATATGACCCAGTGGTAGGGAGCCATCTAAGGGACAGCTTCAGGAAGCCACTGAGCTCTAACAGAAAGAGGCATTTCATTTACTCAACACTGGCTTTCTTTCTTTGAGCTGTTTCCTTCCCACACAAGTGGGACATAATATTGTTAATTAATAGATGAGAATTAAAATTTTGTGGTGTAATGCTTTTAATTTACCAATTATTGTAATGGGGAGCCGAGCGGACAGCACACTGGACTTGTGATCCTGTGGTCCCGGGTTCGATCCCGGGTGCCGGTGAGAAACAATGGGCAGAGTTTCTTTCACCCTATGCCCCTGTTACCTAGCAGTAAAATAGGTACCTGGGTGTTAGTCAGCTGTCACGGGCTGCTTCCTGGGGGTGGAGGCCTGGTCGAGGACCGGGCCGCGGGGACACTAAAACCCCGAAATCATCTCAAGATAACCTCTCAAGAAGATACCTACAAATGCATATTCTATCATTTGCACTATAAAGTACAATAATTTTTGGCATCCACCTTGGTCTAAAATTCTGATGTGGAAAGAAATTACATTATTGATTAAAAGAGTGAAAGTGCTGATTTTATAATTCATCTTGTACTTAACCCCTGGGCTGCTCTTGCAATTATAGCCTGCAACAGGCTCAGGCGCAAGAAATAAAAAAAAATATATATTTCGTCTTATAAAAGTGTTCATTTGTGTTGCCTGATCACGGAAAAAATAATAAAAAATTGTAGGTGGCATATTTTGGCCGCAGTTGGGCAGAAAAGTCTTGCAAAAAAGAGGCGTTGACACAGCAAGCATCGGTGGAGGTCTGCTCCACCCGAGCTGTTAGGCAGGAGTTGCCACAAACATATTATTACCTAATTATTTCAATGTCTCTGATTTTTTCTTAATTTTTTATGCAGTAATATTATTCAATTGTGTATAGTGTGATATATAATAAAATGTGTGAACCATCGCTATACTCAAAATTATGGTGTGCATATTGATGATTCAATTATTATGTTCATAAAGCAATAAACAAATAGTTTTGCTGTTATTACACTATATACACAGGTTATATATAAGTATCTACATGTTTTGTTCACCATAACAAGCCAATAAGTTGGTATGGTGAGTCTGAAAGCAACGAGGAGTGGCCACCACACCAGCCAGCCAGCCAGCCACTTCCTTCCTCAACAACACCTCCCTCGCCAACATTCCTCATCCCACCATACTGTTTTTGCTTTTATTCACTAAATACAGACATTATATATAAGTATCTACATATTTTGTTCACCGTAACTGTACAACTAAGCTGATATGGTGAGTTCAGGCAATAAGAGAGGTCACCACACACACAGCTGACCGCTGCCTCCCTCACTGGTTCAAGGCCAGATGCACTAATATTTTCCCCCAACAATACTGTTTGTGGTGTTATTACACTATATACACACATTATATATAAGGATCTACATGCTTTATTCACCATAACTGTACAATGAAGCTGGTATGGTGCCCAAGGAGCATAGTGGCCACCCTCTACACAGCATGACAAGTCATGCAGGCGAAACTACCACCACCACCCAAATGGCTCCTAACATACTGCTTTTGCTGCTATTACACTAATACACACATTATATATAAGTACTGTATCTACATTCGTGTTCTTAGAGAACCATTGAGCTGATATGGTGAGTGCAGACAATAACAGGAGGCCACACAGCAGACGACGCTATCTCCCTCCCTCCCTCCCTCAGCATTACTCATCCCACCATACTACACACAGCGCTAATTATCACAACAATCCTGCTATTATTATCCTGCTATCCTGGTCATTTTTGTCACAGTCAGGGGTCTTCTGTAATAATATCATTGCTAAATAATACCAGTTACATATATATATTTTGACATTTTTAGGCGATGACCACAGTAATGCTGTTAGTTCATGCTGCGTGCACCAGCCTCGGTTACTCAGTCAGGTTGGCTCTCACACCCGGGAGTGTTGCCCACGATTTAAAAAAAAAATGGCATCTGTTTACAAGAGCCCTGAGGAAGCTGATGTGAACACCCATGTAGCCGCAAGACTTTTAAATCTTGCGTGGTACTCCAACACATCAATAGCTGTGGTGCGCAATTCCGTGACAGTTACTCACCACAGCTATTTGTGTTGCTCAGTTTAAGGGTTAAAGGATATATTAAAACAATTTTATTTAGGTTTTAAACAAAGTATTGAAATAAAGTATTTTGTTATTAATATTTTACCATTGATCGTACTTGAACAGGTTGGATTTTGGAGCACGGGTTAACACCTTGCCAAGAGAAAGTCGTCTAGTCCTAACAGTGTTTGGCTTAAAAGTTGTTGAAGAAGAAAATAAAGCTGAACAACCTCAATATATCCGGGAAGAGCTTGGCTGGGCTGCCATACAATGTTTCTCATTTGAAGGGTAAGGAACTTGCATTATTATTGATGCTCTTTTACATGTTGAGTTGACTTCATTGTAGGGTGTTTATTGGACATTGAAGCTGTGATGATATCAATAGAGTGGTGATTGGAATTTAGATTTAACACTTTTGCTGCCCAATGATACATATTCCGTCATAAAACCAAAATACAGAGTATGCCCAATGACGCAAACGGCATCAATAATATTTTAATATTTGTAGAAATTTCATTTATTGTCTGAATACTATGGGACTTGTTTTAAAATGCGTGCCAACTTCTGCCCATTCTCTGTACAACATATCCCACGTGCCATTCTGACCCCACCATGTGGGTGCCCACCCACGCTGAAGGCTCACTGTTCTCGTGACCTCGCTCGTGACAGCTGTGGCCTCCCCTCGAGTCGAAAAGTTTCCCCATTCCAGTTATTTCATCTCAGGTATTTGTTGTTACCAGCTTTATAATTGCTGCAAATTGACTTAAAGATGTATAATGATCAAGAACAGCCAATCCATGACAAAAGCATTGAAAGAAATGCGTATGAGGGAAAAGTTATAAAGTTTTCATCGAAAGTATAGAAAAGAGAGACTTTATGTTCTTATATGCAAATATCCCTTTACAGCATTCTGTTGCGAACAATTTGATACCAAATTGAATACAATAAAGCCACACAAATATTCATACCAAAACAGAGACCTAGGAAACAGGTTTGGTTCAACAGAAATTGCGAGAGGGCCAGGGACCAATTGTTCAACGTCCTACCAGCGAGCATCGGAAATATTGCCGGAACAACCATGGACATCTTCAAGAGAAAACTAGATTGTTTTCTTCAAGGAGTGCCGGACCAACCGGGCTGTGGTAGGTATATGGGCCTGCGGGCCGCTCCAAGCAACAGCCTGGTGGACCAAACTCTCACAAGTCAAGCTTGGCCTTGAGCCGGGCTTGGGGAGTAGAGGAACTCCCAGAACCCCATCAAGCATGTACCATCAAGCAGACCAAAAGACAAACAGCGAATCATTATAGGAAGAGGCCAAACCCCTCCCCCCAAACATACCAGCGATACAAAGATGGGAGAAACAACTACACGGCAGTAAGCAGAGAGGCAGAGAGGAACTTTGAGAACGATATAGCAGACAAATGTAAATCAGATCCAGGTCTTTTTTAAAAAAATCATTAAAAGCAAGCTTCAGGTAAAGGATAATATTCAGAGATTGAAAATGGGAGACAGATTCATGGAAAATGAAAATGAAATGTGTGAAACATTAAACGAAAAGTCCCAAAGTGTCTTTGAACAAAATGAAATCATCAGAGAACCAGACACAATACGAATTCCAGAGAACAACATAGAGCACATAGAGGTGTCTAGAGAAGAAGTGAAAAAAAATACTCATGGAGCTAAGAAAGAACAAAGCAGTTGGCCCAGATGGAGTTTCACCATGGGTTCTGAGAGAATGTGCAGCTGAGCTCAGCATTCCACTTCCACTGATTTTTCAGGCATCCCTGTTTACAGGAGTTATAGCAGATGTGTGGAAAAATGCTAACATAGTTCCAGTCTACAAAAGTGGCAGCAGGGAAGACCCCCTCAATTATAGACCTGTATAATTGATGAGTGTAATAGTCAAAATATTGGAAAAAATAATTAAAACTAAATGGGTTGAACACCTGGAGTTAAACGATATAATATCAGACAGACAGTATGGTTTTCGATCTGGAAGATCCTGTGTATCAAATTTACTCGGTTTCTATGATCAAACCACAGAGATTTTATAAGAAAGAGATGGCTGGGTTGACTGCATCTATCTGGACCTAAAAAGGGCTTTCGACAGAGTTCCACATAGGAGGTTGTTCTAGAAACTGAAAAAATTGGAGGGGTGACAGGTAAGCTTCTAACATAGATGAAAAATTTTCTGATAGTAAACTGAGGGCAGTAATCAGAGGCAATGTATCAGACTGGGGAAATGTCACAAGTGGAGTACCATAAGGTTCAGTTCTTGCATCGGTGATGTTCATTGTTTACATAAATGATCTGCCAGATGAAATACAGAATTACAGTATATGAACATGTTTGCTGATGATGCTAAGATAATAGGGAAGATAAGAAACCTAGATGATTGTAAATTATAATTCAAGAAGATCTGGACAAAATTGCTTCATAAATATATGGAGCACCACTTGGCAAATGGAATTTAATGTACATAAATGCCATGTTATGGAATGAGGAATAAGAGAACATAGACCCTACACAATCTATAAATTATGTGAGAAATCTTTAAGGATTTCTGATGAAGAGATCTAGGGATGGTTCTAGATAGAAAACTATCACCTGAGGACCACATAAAGAACGTTGTGCGAGGAGCCTATGCTACATTTTCTAACTTCAGAATTGCTTTTAAATACATGGATGGCAAAATACTAAAGAAATTGTTCACAACTTTTGTTAGGCCAAAGCTAGAATATGCAGCAGTTGTATGGTGCCCATATCTTGAGAAGCACATCAACAAACTGGAAAAGGTGCAAAGACGTGCCACTAAGTGGCTTCTAGAACTGAAGGACGAGCTACGAGGAGAGGTTAGAGGTGTTGTATATGCTAAAACTAGAAGATAGAAAAAATAAGGCGATATGCTATAAAATTGTGTTAAAAGACATGCCAAGTATGGCATGTCTTTTAACACAATTGTGTTAAAAGACTTGGCTTTTTCTTGACAGGCATCTCATGCTGAATACTGTCGCTTCTTATCGTGTGGCATTGGCAGAGCCGCTCCTGCTTGTGTTTGTGGTGGATGTCTCTTTTGCTTCGATCCACATGATCGCTCGTGGATTTTTTCGCCTCTGGCTTGCTCATGTACCTCCTGATTCATCTTGGTCTTTGGACTGTGTGCTTTCATTTCTCTCCTCACCTAGGTTTGTGGTGGCCCCCTTCGGTTCGTGATTGCTTATGGAAAGCTTTGTTTTTGTTGGTTTTGGCAACTCCTAGGGGTCGGGTTGAGGAGCTTCATGCTCTTCTGTGAAAGTAAAAGTCCCAAGCCCTCTGCAGCCTTGTATTGGTTTGGGGCCCATGTCATGGTCATTTGTCTCTTCCTCGCTTTGAGACCTGAGGTGCTGTCGCCTCCCCACAGAAAACCAGCTTTGAATGTAATGAAACGCCAATTTCTGGGTGAGCACCAGAGGCTTCCTGGCCCCTTTTTTTCCCTCTGGTCGGTGGCTTTCATCATTCAAAAACTGGAGGGTGGGTAGCCGAGCTCTCCCCTCCCCTTGAAGAGAGGTTGGGTGGCGTTAACAAGTGAGGGGCTAGTTGAACGAGGTGTTGCTTGTTTGTTTTCTTTATGGGGGGGTTCTTTTGCCCTTTTGAGGATGTACGTCGCATTTTTTAACCAGACAGTAGTGTGTTTTGTTTTGCCTACCTTTCTGTGTGCCTTCCCTGGTCAATGGTAAGTATGATATACTTTAAATGTAAAATGTTCATAGGCCATTGCTCCCTGTGCCTCTCTGAGCGGGCCAGGTTGTGACGCTGGTCCCAGTAGGCAACAAGAACCCTGTGACTGATGACCCCAAAGAGGATAGCACTATATCAGTAGGATAGCTTCACAGAGTCTGGGGCTCAGCCAGAATCTGGCATTTCAATACATTCAATGCTTGTTTTCTCTACATAGTAAGGCTGTGTTGTATAAATTAATCATACAACCCAGGTGGTTAAAAATCTCCCTGCTTAGTGTGTGAGTGAGTTCAGGTTCTGACTTTGGTCTCTTGTAGGCTATTGAGGACTCTTAAAGCTGAAATGACTCACATGTGTGAAGGTATCTCATTTCGAGAAGCACCGAGGTCCACTTAGAAAGATGTGTTTTATTATACAGTATTAAAGTTTTTAGGACTCCTGTAAGGGCATGCACTCAATATTATGTTTTCCTTGTGTGTGAGCATGGTCTGATCTCTTGTTACTCGAGTATTTTCATTGGCTTTTCTTTAGATATACTGTATCATTATTTGTGAATTAAAGCATCACAACATGAGATGTTGTGATGCTTTTCAATATCTCAGGTTGTAAAGCATGAGAAGTGTGTGTGTACATCAAACAAAGAATAGAAGAACTTCCTTAACATTGATAATAAGGCAGAGTTATTGGAAAAACACGATCATGGCTGGGAAGGATAGTGGCTGGCAGATCTTATAGTGAATAAAATGTAAAGAAAGCAGTGAAAAGAGAAGTGACACAAAGATAGAAACCATTGAGAAGCTTCGAGGTCAGCTCAGGGTGACTTCGTAAGTTTAACAGATGGCATGGCTTAGCAATGACACTGTATTTTACTGCCTTTCTGTTATTAAGACCAGTCAGTGCTTCAAAAAATTAAGTGAATGAAAAATGGTTTTATTTATTTTGTCATAATTATGATTTATGTGTACAAAATTATTATTTGTGTGATATTGTTATTTCTAAATATATATAAATATTTATCACTTGCTGTAAGAAAAATTCTGAAAATTTGAGGGTAAACGGTTAAAAAAGGAAAATTTCATACAAATTCATATAGGATCTGGAACCATAAAACCCAGAATTTGGAGATGATACTGTATATCTATATTGGAGTTAAAAATGTGTGTGGTTAAATTAAATATAAATTCAGTTTTAATTATGATAATGTATTTGTATATTCTTTACAGGCATCTCTCCCAGGGGTTCCATCTTCTTACACTTTGGCCAATGGCAAGTGATCGAAGACTTGGCCCTGCACCCTATTCCTCAGACCATCCTCAAGTTCATGGTTGTGCTGTTCTTTGTAAGTGTGTGTGGAGGCATAATTTAGAATCCCTAGTAAAGTATATGAATTCCAAATAACTTTGTCATTCTTGCTTTTATTTTTCTTTTATTAGGTATTTCTTTAATATCTCAAGAACACCTTGCTGTTTTGACGTGAAACAAAAATATCGTTTCAAGATTGTTTATTAAGAACACATTTAAACAAAGTATACTTTCTGAAGGAAGCCTCTTTGGCTTCCTGAAGCTATCTATCATACTGAGTAATCCCAGAACTGCGCCAGCTGACATCTTAACGGGTGTGGTGGTGTGCTAGCTGACATGTGACGATGTTAGTATATCATAAGATTCAAAACTTTCATGTACAAGGGGCTCACATTTGCTTCCTCAGGCTTCCTGTAACTATCCCCCATCTTGAAAAAAAACATCCTGATTCCCTCACTTTCCTTCCATGGCCTTAGTAATGTGGCCTATGTTACTAAGACCTTTGTAACGTTTCAAAACCCATGGGCTTAGGAATGTGCAGGGCAGCCATACTGTGACTCGCTGAAATTTTAACAATAGCAAGTGATTACCATTATATATTTCAGGCAAAATGTGTGCTATGTCTAATTATAAGATTTAGGCATACTGTGTATATATATATATATATATATATATGTATATATATATATATATATATGTCGTACCTAATAGCCAGAACGCACTTCTCAGCCTACTATGCAAGACCCGATTTGCCTAATAAGCCAAGTTTTCCTGAATTAATATATTTTTTCTAATTTTTTTCTTATGAAATGATAAAGCTACCCATTTCATTATGTATGAGGTCAATTTTTTTTATTGGAGTTAAAATTAACATAGATATATGACCGAACCTAACCAACCCTACCTAACCTAACCTAACCTATCTCTATCGGTTAGGTTAGGTTAGGTAGCAGAAAAAGTTAGGTTAGGTTAGGTTAGGTAGGTTAGGTAGTCGAAAAAACATTAATTCATGAAAACTTGGCTTATTAGGCAAATTGGGCCATGCATAGTTGGCTGAGAAGTGCGTTCTGGCTATTAGGTACGACATATATATATATATATATATATATATATATATATATATATATATATATATATATATATATATATATATATATATATATATATATATATATATATATATATATATATATATATATATATATATATATATATATATATATATATATATATATATATTAGTATATTTTGGTAGCAGTCTTTCCTGTAGACATATATTATTAAATATGACCGAAAAAGTAAGATTAATAATTCTAACACGAATTTTCTCAATCTTTCGTACATTACGCTTCACTGTTGGAGGTAAATCAAAAATCACTTCTCCGAAATTCATTTTTATTTCTAGTCTGACGTGACACGGGCGCGTTTCGTAAAACTTATTACATTTTCAAAGACTTCACAAATACACAACTGATTAGAACTTACGTATCTCTGATTTTATATCTACATTTGAGTGAGGTGGGAGGGGTGATGTGGCATTAACACAAGACAGAACAAGAGGGGATATTAATAGGGTATTAAAAGTATCAACACAAGACAGAACACAAACAATGGGTATTGAATAGAAGTGTTTGTAGAAAGCCTATTGGTCCATAT